CAGCAGGAGAGATTTACTTTTCAAAGATTATGAATGTTTATTCCAACTGATATCATCACCATAGCAGACCCCACAGGTAAATCTGTTTGCTACTAAACTTAACTTCAGATAATCTTGGTTCTGGCCTAGAATTAATGTAAACTCCATATTCACAAAAGGTCATTATCAGCCCCTCAGAAATCAGGAGTCTTTAAGGCAGTGCTTTTATTGCTAAAGTAAGAAATATTTGTGTATCAGCTTTGCCATTGCCTCTCTAAAAAATGAGGTTATGTTACCCCTTCACAAACAACTGTTTTTGGCTTCTGGAGCAGGGATGTTAGAAGAAGCCATTAAATGCACACTACAGAAATAACTTATGCATATAGAGAATATTTTTCACTCTTTCTTTTTATGCTCTTCAAATACAGTAAATTTCATCAGTCCTGAAGGCATGGAATTTTCTACCTTTCAATACATGCAGCTCAGTATGACAAATGCTGGGGTTGCAGCTATTTTTCTAAGAACATTTTGGCTCAGCCTTTTTTTCCCTGTTAATGCCAATTTCTGAAAACACAAAAATAGAAGACAGTTTACATATAAACAAAGCAACATTTGTAAGGTGAATTATTTCCTTTGGGCTGGATTTTAAAGGTGCTTAAAGTACCTAAATGCAGATAGGTGCCTAGGGGGTTTAAAAAGTACCTAAGTGGGTTAGGCATCATCCTACAGAAGTAAATAGAAAATGGGTTTCTGACCTACTTGGGTATTTGTGATTATTCCTCTCTTAGCATTATTAGGAACCTGCATATCTTCAGACATACAATCCTTTCTTACTGTAGCTGATTTTTCCATCATCGTTCTTCTGTCTTACCTAAACACCAGAAAGAATATCTTCTCTGCAAATTCGCTTTTTTGGGCAACTTTGTGAGATGAAGGGAATTGGATTATTGTCCTTTTTATACTTAGGAAACGGAGTTCCATCTTTTCCATCAGGGGTTTTCAACTTTTTTGGCCCGGAGGCTGGACATGGAGCCGGGGGGAGGCGGGTGGTGTGGGACAGCCACTACGTGCAAGCTTCCCCTCCCCACCACTTCCAGCCAGGAGCGCCAGCAGCGTGGGATCTTGCATGGTGGCACTCCATCTCCACCCACCTGCACGCACCCCCTAGGACCTACTTAAGTACCCTGTTTTACATCACTGTCATCCTACAAAGACTACCTCCTTCACAAGTTAGTCAGTCACATTCTAAAACCCATTCTAGCAAAAAAAGCAACTTTGGTTAATTTGCTCAGTGTTGAGGATCACAGTCAAATGCTGTAAATATAGCTGCCAGTTAAGTAAAAGATGCTATCATTATATTTCTGGATTATATGGCGATGATGCAGTTAATAGGCAATAGAAGTTGTTTCTTTAAGTCATTGGCTTCCATCCTTTTTCATGAAACTGCCAAAATTAGGAGCCTGGTATACCAGTTAGTTCCCAATACTTTCTGTTTAGCTATATGGGCTCTAACCCACAATCAAAGTTAAGCTGCTGTTATGAGAGTGGCATTTAGAGCTGTGAATTAGTCTGCCTAGTAGAAGGCAGGGCAGAGATGCACCTTATAGAGTACCTAAATCAGAGATGCATAAGCTTTTGTGAGCCTGAGCTCTCTTTATGAGCTGTGTAAAACACCCTAGACTGCCTACCCTTCAAAGGGAGGTAGTTGTACTGCAGCAGCCTACTGAGTCTGATCATTAAGGGACCAGTTCTGATAGAGGCTGATCATTAAGGGACCAGTTCTATCAGCTGAACCCTTTTTGGGTGATACCTTACAGCATAAGTAGTGTATTTAACTCTTCTTGCCTGTTCACAGAGAAAGATGTTATTCACTGTGAGTAAGAGTGGCAGAAATGGGCCCTGTGAAAGATAACAAGGACTAGAATTGTGTGTTCCTGAAGTACTAATTTAGAGGCTTGTACCAGGGGCTTCTAACCACTGATTAGGGCTACAGCATTGTTTTGTGGATTTTGTGGGAGTTAAGTAACACAGTAGGTCTCGAGCTGCCTATTGAATTTCACCCTCTGAGATTTAATTCATGAGTAGTTGTTACAGTTTCCCTTCCACAGAATTGTTTAGATCTATTTTAGGGACCCAGTTTCTTAATCCCCTACTGTTTTTGTTCCCAAATAAAGAATAACTAAGTTTGCAAATCTCTACAACACTGAAACAAAAGGCAAAAAATTAGCTCTGCACAGCTTGTACTTGATGCTGGAAACTCCGTTTTGATGATTGCAGTCATCATTCATCTGAAGGGCAGAAGCTATGATTGTTAAGCCTCATTATTTTCAATGAGGCCTGACAGTTTCAAGGTTAAACAGAAGACAGCAACTTTCATCCTACTGGTATTTCTCTTCAAACATGGGCAATTCTTCACTAACCTGTCTGCATTGTTGTGCAATGCCATTGGTTGGACACAAAACTGTGCAGGATAACATATAAGCCACGATGCCCATTTTTCTATTTCCTTTATCGTTTTAAAGGCACTTAAGAAACTGAAACAATTTTAGAGTTGTTTTCCATGTGTGTGTAGCCACACAGTGATTTAAATAATCCAGCTTGTCAGATGTCACTATTTTCCTTCTGTCTTTCAGAAAATAATAAAAACTCCTATCAGCTCAGACTTTCAATTTGTCAAAAATATTTGGCTCCATTTCTTCAACTCTTTTTGCTTCCTAGCAGGGGTGTATTTTCCTAACACACAAAGAGGAAGAGCACCAGTGAGTGAGAAGCTTCCATTGGTGATTAATGTGGATGAGAAGGTCAGGATAGTTCTGCTGAGCATAAATAAATTATCTGTAAAATTCAAAGGTTCTAGCAGCTGCTAAAAATGAGGGCAAATGTGTTCCAAATCATTATTTTTTTAAAGTATGGAACATCAGAAATGACAAAATGTGTGAACTTCTCAGAAAGAAGGGAGGAAAAATATGTCCAGTAGATTTTCTAGGATCTGGAAGCCACTTGCTAGCCAGTATTTCAAGTAAGGATAAACTAAGAAGCCCACATTTTGATAGTTGTGTAGGTCATGGGAAGTTATCAGCTGTCCATGTCTTCCCTTCACATGGATGAGGAACTATATATTTATGCTTTGGGGGAAAATGCTACTGTGCAACTAAGATGACAAAGAAAAGTTCTGAATTTTTTTTACTGGAAAATAATTCTGATTTGGTATTGCATGCAAAAAAATAATACAAGTACAAAAGTCAAGAAAGCTGGGAACACAATTGTAGGTCAACCCTGAGTACAAATTGAGTTCAAATGTTACAGTTCTTTAGGAGGCAAAAGGTAGATTTATAATCAGAATATCAATATATCATTTGGAAAGTAAAATTGCCAAACTTGACAAACCATTTCTCCAGTACCCTGGAGAACTATGTTTTGTTTCCTGGTGTCTATTAATAATCTTCCCCTCCATTGCTTTTGAGTGATGAAATCCTAATCTAGTTTCAGGAATTAAGTAATCTAAATAGTACAATCAAAGGTATAGTTTCATGATGCTCAGAGGTTACTGGAAAATCTGAGTGTTTCAATACCTATTGTATGTAGTAGTCATTATCATATGTTATGACTTGGGACAATAAATCCAAGAAGCACAAACTAATTCTTTTGCCCTTAGATCATTTATACATCCAGTAGGTCAAACACATTTTGTAGTTCTAAAATGGTTGGCTTATTTCTATTTTGTATTTACATTCTCTCTGTTGTGCAGCTTGCAACAAAAAAAGAAAGTAAAAATGGCCTTTTCAGAGCAGAAAAGATAGTGAGCTTTCAGTACTGAATGCAGCTAATTGGACTTGCATCTCTTCTTAACAGCGTGTTGTGTGTATTATACATTGGGCACAACTCTGAAAAAAGTTCTCTGCCCTCAATGTCAGGCTTTACGCTATGTGTTTATTTATGGGAGAACTTTAATAGAGGGATTCTATAAAATGGAATGAACAAAGGAAATGGCTATTACACACTGTTCCTGGAGTGCTTAAGAAAAATGTATGTGAATGCAAAATCCTGGACAAAATTAAATCTTTGAGTTTACCTGTGTGCTTTTAAAGAAGGAAAGAGGTAACTAAGCACGCAGTCTGATGAGATGCTCAGCACCCTCATTCCCATTTCATTGAAGTCAGTGGGAGTTGAAGCCACCCAGTACCTTGCTGAGATAGGTCCTGAATTATCATATATTGTTGTTTGAATTGATAGAACAGCCATATTCACCAGTTTAAACATAAAATACATCCCTAGTTCCTCAGAGACTTTATTTTTCTTGTATTTTGAAAAGAGGTTTTGACATAATGCCTTTGGGATTTTTAGAGGTAAACACACAGCACTAAAATAGATTCCAAAACTGAGCTGAGTAACAGGTGTTGAGTTTCTTCAAAAGAAGTACAGCAGCTAAATGTTTTATTTAATGACAGCTATATCCACATAGTTGATTCTTTTTTCAGGAACTGAATGTGCTGCTTCTGTAAAATGGAATATCCAGACCTATATTGATGTGTGCAGTCCTGTGTTAACTACTGTGTCATAGGAATCGCAGATACTGTATATATTGCAAAGGAGAAGATTAATTGATCTAACACCTCTGACTGTGACTGGGCCGGGCTGTAGGTTAAAAGTTTTTTCAATTTGTCTGCACTTTGCCCTAATGTCTGTCTTTTACAGTAATGCTTTGTTTCTTAGTATGACCACCACCAGGACAGCTTGGTTCAATGCAAACACTGTCTCTTTCAGGCAGAACATTCCTAATGTTAGCTTCTTTTTTTTCCCCTCCTTCCCTCTCCCCCACCCCCACCTCAGGTTGGAAAGGCTGGTGGACGTCCTGAGGAAGAAGGTTGGAGCAGGGACCATTAGGACCGTGATCTGATTGAAAGCTCCAGTCTAGGGAAGCATTCACATCTGGTGACCAGGCTGCTTCATTCAGCACTATGTAAACACTAAAGCCTTAACTTAGCAAACAGTTGTTAGAAGTGGGACACTCCAACAACATTCCAAGCTGAGATAAAATCAAATCATAAATGTTTAACCACTTTGCTGCTGAGTTTGGTGATTTGTCAAAATGTATCGCTGCAAGCGCGTTTGTTTTTAGGGAGCTGTATTGTAGCATAGTCAGTGAAGAGTCTGAAAATATTTGAGATGCATATTTTAGAATGCTCTCTTAATATTATTGGACTGCAGTCTGCTTCCAGGCCCAAGATGATCATGTTCTAAATGCTACCTGCTTCAGGCACAAAATCCTATAAAGCAGAGTCTCAAAATATAAATCCCCTTTGCTATTTATGAGTCTGCAAACAATTGAATATTTTTATGTTGAGTATATTTCTCAGTGGATAATAGGCATCCAGATTTAAGAACAATTTCTGGTTAATATGCTGTAGAAACCTTCTTCCTGAAGCACACCGTAACCCATTGTATTGTGATTAGTATGGGAAATTATGCAAATGCATTGGAGGGGGAAGGTATGCACATGGCTTTGTAAAGAATTCCTATAGCTAATACAGATTCCTATGACACAGCAATTTCAGCTTATCATAAACACAAGCGTGGAGTTATATTTCACAGAAATAAGTGAATGATGTATTACTTTGTAGAAATGCAATTATACTGCATAGGATCTCAAGCCAAGGAGAAGCTTATCCTGATAGCTGTGTGTCACTCCTCTTCCCTCTCCTATGGAAGAAAACCTTTCTGATCTACTAATACTCCACTTGGTAATGTCAAAAGAGCTCTACTATGTAAGGCACAGCTTCACCTCTTTTCTATCAGTCCTTTTGCCTTCTTTCAAAGGGAAACACTGGGCATTCTGCTCAGTCTCCCTAGCTTGCTTTAGCTTGTTTATGCTGTCTGATTTTTAAAGTTTGTTTTACAGCAATAATGAAACAGAAGGGTAGCAGAAAGAGGAATATAAGAAGAAAAGATTTCATAGTTTGTGGAGTGTCAGTGTCTGTCAGATATTGCAGAACTACCTTCATCTGTATACCTAGTCTCTTTGATTAGGTACAGACATTTAAAAACCCTGAGATGGAATCAATCAAATCTAGGTGGGTTTCTCTAAACTGTGTAGACTGGATTGGGAGCAAACAGAACACACACTTGCCCTTTGGTGTTAAGGGGCACACAAATGCCTTTAATGGCCAAGGCTAAAAGGCGGGGGTGCTCCCACATTCCTCTCAGTGCAGCTTCTCTCCCCAGCCCTGCCCCCCCACCAGTGGCCAGCTGTCAGAGGCAGCAGGGGGGGGTGCCCTCGCCAGCTGTGCTTGCTCAGGTGCAGGGGGGTTGGGTCCACAGGACGGGGGCCTCCACTTGCACCCTGGCTACTTCCCAGACAGGGGAAGGCAGGAACCAGGGGTGATAGCCACACATCACCGGGAGAGGGAACAGGAAGTGGAAGCCCCGTGCCTTGCAGGCCACCCTCCTGCCCCAGTTGTGTTTGCTTGGATCTGGATGGGCCAGGTCCATGCGGCAGGGGCTTCCCCCCTTCCTTGCTGCCTGGCCTAACTTGCCAGCACAACTTTTCTCCCCAGGCCTCTCCCCCACCACCAGCTGTCAGTGGGGAGAGAGGGGAGGAAAGTGGAGGCCCCCACTGTGTGAACCTGGTTGGCCTAGACCCAGCCAAAACAGCTAGGGAGGGGGCATACAGTGGGGCTTCCCCCTTCCTGACTGCCTGGCCAGTGTGGCTTCTCTCCCCAGCCCCACCCTCCTGCCAGCTATCAGTGGTGGGGGGAGAGAGGAGGAAAGTGAGCCAGAATAACTCGGGGGAGGGGCTGGGGCAGGGGCCTCCCGTTTCCCCCTCTTCCATCTCTCTGACAGCTGGCAGGGGGCAGGGCCAGGGAGAGAAGCCACACTGGCCAGCTGGGCCAGGCCACAAGGAAGGGGGAAAGTTTCCACCATGCAGCCACTGCTAGCTATACTGGTTGGGCTAGGGGCAGGGCCTCTGCTCTTCCACCCCCAGCTGCCTGTTCTGGTTGACAGATGCAGACAAGACACAGGGGTGGGGAGCGAAGGCTTTGCTGCCTCAGCTCTGTAACAGACTGGGGGCAGGGTTGGCCCAGTGCTCTGCAAGAGCAGATGAGTGTGGGCTGGGACTAGCCCACCCACCCTGCAGGGGGTGTTAACAAGGGAACTGCAAAGGCACCCAGGATACCAAGGGACTGGGATTGAACTTGAGTTGGGAGGGGAGCTGGTGCAGAAGTTCAGTAGACCAGTTTAACCTAAACCAATTAAAACTAATACTACATCATCCTGGTCTATTTTAGAGTGGGTCTGCCATTTTTAAACGAGCCTATGTGCACTGAATTTCTGTTCTATTACAGGTTTAGACTGGTTTCCAGTCACTTATACCAGTTTATGTATAATATCTGTACCTAGCCTTAGTTTCAGAGCACCAAGCCAGAGCACTTGTACAAGGAGTAGCTCTCCTTCAAGCCAACTCTATTTGCAGTTTCTAGTATTTGTTATGCCCATACGACTGATCTCTTGAGAACCCGCCCTTTCTGCTCTAACACCCTCTCAGCCCCAGTTCTCAATAATCCTGAGCCTTTAGGCCTGACCACTAGTAAAACCCCAGAAGAGCCCACAGATGTTCCTAGCTACTCTCCTGTGCAAGGTGAGCCTATGACAACAGTCCTGGGAATGCCACTGGAAGCTGTTGCTGCTTGTTTTCTAATATCTTCATTAGACCTCTTGGTACAGTGAGCGGAAAGGGGAGTTCTCACGTGGACTCCTTGGCTAGGGACAGAAGTTACACATAAACTGGTTTAAGTATTCAGAAACTGGTTTAAACGTAACAGAACAGAAGTTCAGTGCACATAAACCAGTTTCAAAATAGCTGGAACTGTTTTAATATAAACCTGGTTGAATGTAGTATCAGACTTAACTGTTTGGGTCAAACCAGTTTATGAAACTTTTGTCCCAGGTCCCTTCCTGGTTCAAGTTAAATCACAGTCTTCCAGGAGGCTTTCCAGCCCTATCTGTCCAGCACAGAAGGGGAAGGCAGAATGAGCCCAATCTACATGGGGGCACTGGCCCCCCCGGCAAACCCCGGCTAGGGGCTGGGGCCAGGAAGGGGAATTATTGGCTAGTTCTAAATTATTCCTACGTGGCGGCTGGTAATTGGCTTGCTGGCCGTTTAAAATTTCGTGCAACTTCCGCCCAAATCGGAGAACTTTGAGCACGCTGCAGAGTGCCTCTAAAGAGATCCGACTTGCGGCTGAGCTGATCGATAGACTGATCACCTATCGATTCTTCTCCCCATCGCCGAGCACAATCCCCGACGTACTCTTGCCCCGCCGGCTTGATTTGTGGACGGATGAGCTAGCCTGAGCCTTGCCACCTGGAACAACTAACATAGTTGTTCATACGACCGGACCGTCAGCGTCGCAGCTACAAGCGGCGTAAGTAAAGTTTTGCAACCAATTAAGCCTTGTCCGCCTCTCTATTCACCAGCCCGCCCAACGAACGAGTAATTACTAAATCACCTCGAGTTGGTTCTGGCCGTCCGAGACAATAGTGATGAGCAACCCTGCAGAATCCTTCTGCTGTGATTTTGGACTGCAAATCCCAGAGACCTCAGAAGCAGCAGAAAGAGGAAGCAAACACACAGCCCTTTCTGGCTAAGTGCCAGAGAGCTGTGCTCCAGCAGCCTCCAGCTTCTGGCCTGGGCCGCTGCAGGTATGTGGCTGCATTTCCTGAATCAAAAGTGAATGTCTGTCCAGTTGTTTCTCAGCTTATCTCTGCAGCTTAGACTAACCTGAAAAGACTGAATCAATTCAGCTTTGGGCTTTTTGACTGTCTGTACTTAGCCAATTAGACTGGAAGGCAATGGCCAAGCAAGGAAGGAAGAAGTTGTTTGCCATGCTTGAGTGACCTAGGTTTCACCTTTACCTAAGTAAGTCTACAATTATCCCCTCCCACTGTGTCTGTCATTAGGGTCAGGTAGTCCCTTAAGTGCAGACTCCACATAGTTCTGCTGTTTGACACAATGTTACATCTTCATATCCTTCCTCTTATTATGCCCTACCTTGTTTAGGTAAATAGCATGGCCACGTGCATAGGATTAGAGAAGTCATCATAATGCCAGATTTGTGGCCAATCTTTGATTCTTCAGTATAAGATGAAAATCCCCATAATACAGTTGTCATGCTGTGTATGAGGGGTAAAAGAATCCTTTTTGTCCCTGTGTTATTAGTAACACCACAGAGCTCAGTATCTAATTACCATTTATCAAAGGGTGTATCACTTTTCCTAAACTATTGTGATTTGTAATTAAGTGAGCCATCACCTTTTAAAAATTCAGCTACAGATCTTTTGTCTTTAAGACTGCTTCAGAAATCTAGTCTAGAGGAGAGGTTAGAAGTCAGGAATTCATGGGTTTTAGAGCTACTCTGCTACTGGTGAAATGTGTGGCCTTTGGAAAGTTCCATAAAGTCAGTATGTAGGCACCTAAAGATGCAGATGGACATCTAGTAAGATTTTAAAAAGCATTTAAGCATCTAACTCCCACGGAAATAAACTGATCTCTGCCCCTGTACCCACTGAAGTTTATGGCAAAACCCTGATGCAGAAAAATGCAGGATCAGGCTTCTAGTATCTGTGGGTAAAGTCCTGGCCTTTCCAAAGTCAACAGGAGTTTTGCCACTCACTTCAGTGAGGTGGCACCTTCTGTCTATTTTTACCATCTGAAAAATTTAGAGGATTAGGAAAGTAGTGTTTTGCTTAAATTGCTTTTCCTCATAGATTCACTATCAGGTTTAATTGGTTAATGTCCACACAGTACTTCAAAAATACAAACTACTATATAATAGCAACTATTATTATCATTTCCAATTATTTGTGTCCTAATTTATGAGGAAAGGATGAGGATGTGTCAGAGTACAAAGGAGTAATGGTAGTTCCTTTGCCTCTTACCAATATTCACACTCTTAAATGAGTAAAAGACTGTCTTTCACAGGCAAAGACTAACAACTATACTGGTATGAGTTATATTATCAGCACCATATAGCAGAAAGATACACACACATCTCATATCCCTCAT